CTTTGGTGAAGTGTGCGGGGCCGAGCCCAGCCGGTGCCCGCCGAACTTGACCTTTAAAAGCCCCCCGAGACGCGCACGCAGCATCCGAGGCACCAGCAGCCATGCCATCCCGCGAGCCGGCTAGCGGTGACCACCGTATTTGTAAATGGCGTAGAGGATGTGTGTTAAAATGTGCGTGTCCATCATGCCCTAAACAGTCTCTGCTTTTCGTATGGGAAAGCTCCTTTATCTCCGAAGTTGAGTTAGGTGGGCAGATACATGTTTTAAAAAGCAGAGACATAAGTAGGCAAAATCGAACATATTAAGAATTCCTAAAGCATGAACGACGGGGAAGTGGTCCGTATGGACTGATGTGCAGTTTTTGTACTGCTGCATAATTTGAATTGTGGAAGTGGTTATTAGTTGTCTAACTAAATTAAATCAGATGGCAGAGAGGCACATTTTACGTTTAAGTAAGTCTAAAAAGACCAAAGGAAAATGGTATAGGAAGTCAGCATAGTGACTGATTTTCAAAAGATGTGATCTGAGTTGGTTTATTTTACACGACGACTTTACTTTTTTTACCAGACAGAAGTCTTACATGCCCCAGATATATAAGCAGTACTAATAGCTATAATGACTGTAAAACTACAAGGACAACAACCTGTCCTAGTTGTAGTATGTGAATTTTGCAAATCATCAAATGCAGGGGTTTACTATAGCGATGGGAGCCTGTTGTCTGCCACAGAACATAAGAGCTGCTAGAAGAAACGTCTGATGCCAAACTACTGCTATGCAGTCAGATTGCCCTTGATAAAATATGACACATCACAAGAAATGGCAGTTTATGAAAATGTGAAGTAACTGTAGATCGGTTTATACAGAGCAATCGCCGTGATACATTTAAAAAGATTAAATGTGAACCTTTTCTAACTTGCAACCAGCAAATTAATTTAAACATGAGAGAATAAAGTCACATAGAGGTACATGACTGCACTTCGTATTTAGTTTGAAGTTCCTGAGGGTGTATTTGCTTTCTTTAGAGAAGGCCTAAGAACTGCTTCATACTGCATTTCAATGCACATTTTAAGTCTTAATTGGAAGGTAAGTACCTCACAGGAACTGTTTTGACTTTGCATGGGTGGAGGCGTTTATATAAAATATAGTTGTTATGAAAAGCTTCATGGTTGTCACTTGAGCTGTAGTTGCCATACCTTATGCACTGTTCACTGAGGTAAATTGCGTGCAATGACAACGTATGTCTAGAAAATATGCATTAGAGAGAAGGATCTGTTACGTTGATTACTCTACCACTGAGCATGGATTATAGCTGAAAGTGATTTTTGTTTTTTTCCAAACTGCTTTAAAATGCCTTACAGATTAAAGTAGGTAGATGTGCATTTTGACTTAAACCAGAATGTAAGCTGCAGTGGAGTGTTGCGTATCCTCAGCTAGCAGTATTTCTCATGGTTTCCTTCTCCAACAGATTGGGAAACAGACTGCCATTTGATGGAGCCAGTGAACCTGACCATGCCCACGGGTCATTAAAGTCTGAATCAGACATTTTGCAGAACACACTACCTGAAAATGAGAAATTCTATTTCGATCTGTCCAGAATTATTGATAGGTGAGTGTCTTTATTATCATAAATACAAATGATACTTGAATTATGCCAAAAGCTTGGTCACATTTTCAAGCTGAGAAATAGGAAAGGAAGACTCAATTACAGAAAAAACCTACACAGTCTCTGGTTGAATACTGGTAGCAGGAGGAATGTGTGCAGAAATGTTGATTGCATTGCCATTCTGGCATGATGAGTTCATTCACTTCTCCAGAAGGGCTAAAAAGTATGTTGTGAAAATCTGAAAGCTGTTTTATGAAATTAGCTTAATTTAAAATGTACAATAGATAACTTAAGGAAAGCAGTATGTTTACAAAATGAACATTATCAAAATGATATGAACCCAGGTTCTATTGTAGAGTTTATTTATTGTCCATTTCAGAAATGCAAGGCATGCTGATGGAATTTTCACCAGTGTCTACAGCCATCTTTTGGCTAAACTTGCTGTGAAGAGATATCTGCATTCGCTTATTAGAAAACGAGTTAGGTGAGGTGACACTTACATTAGGTAGAGTTTTTTCCTAGCTGGCTTCATTGGCAATTTTTTTACCCTTCTGTACCTAAGTTCTCATTTTTGCGATGTAGAGATAATGAAAGAGAAACTGATATAATAATGGGGGAGCTGAAAATCCTATATAACAAATTAGTGGTATTTCTTACTAAATTAATACGTTACTATTTATTCCTGATACAGCTGTGAAGGGTAGAGCAACAGACACTGCATGTAGCACTGATATTAAATACTAGCAATATTGTGATGATTATCATGCCCATTTGCTAGTTTTTTTATCTGATAGTGGTTTTTCTAGCTTGGCAGATGAATGGCAAAGTGAATACAAACTGAATGATTACTCAATACTTACATAACAACGGGGATGCTAAATGAAATTAAGAAATGATCGGTTTACAGTGAAAACAGAGGAATTATATTTTTCCTATTGTAGAATATATTGCAAGAGCAATATGTTTGGGAGATCTGCACTATAGAAAGATTCAAAAAAGAGTGAGGCAAATCCATAAACGAGAGATCTGGATGCACCTTCCAGACCAGGATGCCCATAAACTAAAGGCTGCAGGATGCTGGGAAGGACCACTACACACTTCCCTTGTTTTCATATCCCTAAGCAGCAGCTACTGGGCACTCTTGGGAACAGAACAGTAGAATACTTGGGTCTGACCCAGTATGACAGTTCCTATGAATGATCAAAAGCTGAGTGAAAATTAGGTCCTGCATTTATGTCAATGCTGCCTTTGTTCTAGAACACAGAGTACCAGTTTCTGATATGCTAGAAACTAACATAGATCATTTAAAGCAGAAAACACTGAGGCTTCCCAAGGTTGTGCATGAAAAATAGGCCTCCAAGTTAGGATTTCACGAGGTGTTTTGTCTCCTGATACTTCCTTAAAACAACCATTTGTAGCTATGTATGTGATGCTATAGTCACTCTTACTTTCCTCAGAGGCAGGCTCTGTCCTCACTGAGTTCAACAGGAACAGTGACCAGGTCCCTTAAGAGCTCACTGTGACTTAAACCGGTCTGCACCTAGGCATTGTACTGAAATGTATTTGTGCAGATGATAGAAATCAGAACAAAGTCAGTTTATGAAAGAGTAACCTGGGCCGTGAGGACAGACAGGAAGCAGTCATGAAATCCACACTCGGCCATTTGATCCTGCAGAATTCCTGGGTTAGGGACTGTAAAGGTCATTGAGTATGGATCCTAACTGCATGGGCCATGGCAAAGTTGAGCAGGAGAAAGAAATCAGTGGAAGGTGAGCACAAATAGACTGAATACCCATCCTTAGAATTTGATGCTTATTATTAAAATACATAATAAGCAATAGAAGCAATGGTTTCTTTTCAAGAGAAGAAAAGTCATAGCTGGAAATGAAAGCTGAAATGAAAATTTGATTTTATATAACTAACCAACATTGTAAAGTTTGTTTCACTCATTTAATGGTGTCTTCTTCTAAACTGATATCGTCCATTAATTTTTTCTTTGTAATTGTTGTATTGCCAGCTCCCAGGACAGTCCTGTCAAACGCCACTCTGACGCTGTCTTCACTGACAACTACAGCCGCTTTCGAAAGCAAATGGCTGTGAAGAAATACTTAAACTCAGTTTTAACTGGAAAAAGAAGGTACTATGAGAAAGCAAATACAGATTGTTTCCATACTTGTGTGGTATTAAGACAGAAAAGATTTATACCCACATATGTGTACAGAGAGGACAAACAAAAGGCAATGAACATTAATGACTTTATAACACAATTTGTAACATGGTTTTCAAATACAGGCAGTGTTTTCTTCCAGACTGGAACAGACACTACAATCAGATTAGAATAAAAGAATAAAGAGGAGATAGCATCTGGCAATTTTGAAAAGCTTTTCACAGATTCTTAAAATGGTTTTATTTATTAAAAAAGCTTCTTAAGGAAAACTCCACAGAGCTATGGAACATGAACAACAGTTTTATAAAGAAAATTCACTGTTTGTTGAAAATTTGCCTTTAAGTAAGCACATGAAATGAACATTTAGAAGTCCCAGAAAGACCTAATCAGTTTAGGTGACAAGTGCCAACATATGTTTTTATAGACCTCATACTCTGTTTGTACATTCACTCATTTAGACAACTGCTTTTAAATGTCATGTCTCTTCACCTGTTAAACATGCAGTTTCATGTGATTTATAACACTTTGGTATAAGTGTGACAAAACATGCAATAGCTACAGTTAGAAGGAGGCTTTGCTTGCCTGTTTGCTTTTCTTCTGAGGGCAATAAAACTTGTTTCTGATCCACAACAGCCAGGAAGAGCTAAACCCCTCTAAACTTCGAGATGAAGCAGAACTTCTTGAACCTTCCTTTTCAGAAAACTATGATTCTGTAGATGAGCTGCTGAGCCACCTCCCACTGGTATGCCCAGATTTTCTTTCCTCTTGCTGTCTGTTACTTGACCCATAAAATGAGAATAATCATACATGAAGTGTAGCCTATCAGAAAAGCAGAATCATCTAGGAAAGAGCCATGTTCCATGAAATGCTGCATGTTTCTATAGGGATTGTGTCTGAATAAATAATCATTTTAATAACAATAATTATTTTATCCCATGATTGCTGTTATTGAAAATTTCTAATTAAACGGCACTGTTAATAATGTACCTAAGTCACTTGGGTGTTTCAGTTTGTGTGCAGTGCAGCATAAAACTAGAATTGACTCATTTTTTAATTTCAAAGATTATTATTTCTTCAGAGAACAAACTCAGTGAAATTTCTTTTAATTAAAAAAACCAGAAAAAAAGAAAAAAGGTGTACATTTTGTTTAACATCTATTTCATTAGAAGGGAGTTTCCTCTAGAACTAAGAGGGTCTGCAACATGAACCCTAAGCATTAAGAAAAGATTGATTCCCATCTAAGATGTGCTGCAGAGGGATTGTCTAACATGCAAATATTGATGGGATTCAGGAAATAAATGTATTTTCTAGACAAAATTATTTCAAAAAATATATGCTCCTGGATTTTACACCTTCTAAAACTTCCGACACTGACTGAGAGAGAAGTGATACAGCAGGTCATGGGTGTCTTCCTGCAAATATTTTCAGTCCTTTCCTTTTTTATTGACTGTACAGATGTTCCAGATCTCCCTATAGGTAAATCGCTTACTAAATATTGACTATTACTGGTCATTTTATCGCAGTGCCCACCTGCTGATGGAGCATGTATCAAGCAACCTGAATTTGTGTATCCATTTCAAGGATATAGTTGTTTTCAAAGGGAGCTGTTCTGCGCTGTAGGCCAACATGCAGTAGCATTTTTGCCTAATCCTTCAACCTTTCTTTTATATCAAGTTTGAATTCTTGTCCACTGACTGCTTTTATACAACTCATGATGCAACTGCTTATGAAAATGACTTTTAAAACATATTTCTCCTTTGCTTTTCAGGACCTCTGAAGGACACCTGGTAAAATCTATGACAAGAGCAAGCTATTTTTGAGTTCCACATAGTATTTCAAAGAGATGACTTTAGTCATCAAACCAGAACAAATATGTTGTGAAGTGAAAGTTGTGATATATTTGTTTCTTATGTAATAAAAGTTGATATTTACATTGTAAATATTACTCTAGAGTTCTCTACTGAAAGCTGTACATATGGATGCCAGTTTAACTCATGAGAAGTCTGTGAGTCCATATGCTGTAAATCCTTTACTTCAATAAATTCATTTGAAAATGAATGTGCAACTGAAAAGAGCCCATCATTACTAATTAATTATTTTAGATGTGGTACAACTTCAGATAAACCTACGATAATAGGGATACATTTCCAGATACCTTTATAATCAAGTGTAAAAATGTGGAAAAGAATGTGCAAAGTGTGTAAAACTGCATTACAAAGATCCCTGAAGGTTACTGCCAAGAAAAAGGGAATGCTTTTCTAGCAGCTTACCAAGCAACTAGAAAAAATGAAAAAGCATTAAAAATTATTCTACCTCTGACAGCATCTTTCCTTCCCGTTCACATTTTTAATGTTTCACCAGACCAGAAATCTACCCTTTATTTTCAGTTGTGTTTTGGATGCTCTGGAGCTGACAAAGCATGCAGAGAATGCTATCCCTTGATTTGTTTAATGCCTAAAGTCACTGGTTACTCTACATTTCATTGCCTGTAGCTTTGATGATGAAGCTATTCCTTATATTTAACATAGATCTGAAGACACTTTGCCATTTTGAATGTAATTTGCAGAATATGCAGACAATAAATTATTTTATTGTCACAGCAAAATATTACTGGTTTGAATCAGTGGACAGGTACCTGGAACAGTAGAGATCCCAGTAAATGCTGTCTCTACTATAGTAATAGAGGAAGATATTGTTTTTTAATGGAGGTATACTAAGTGGTATGAGAAAGGCAAGCAAGTAAGCCTCCATTTCTTTAGCTTTAAATCATTGTAGCTTGCTATAGAACTAGAAATTTGCAACAGATGATTCACCGTTGCTGTGAAACAGAATCTGATTGTATTTTATTAAAATTGTAGATTTGATAAATTGGATTATTTTCTAAGGAATTATTTACTGTTGTAAGGACTGATAGTTCCATCGCAGTAAGGAAAGTGTGCGATACTGCATGCACAGTATATGAAACACATATTCATGCGTGATACCAGCCCTAACACTCCCATGACTCCCCTCCCACTTGCTAGAAACAGTTGAAATTTGAAGTAGAAAAACTTATCAGACCTACTTACAAGTTCAATTTGGAATTTCAAGTATATTTATATATCATACATATGCACACATAGTGATAAGACTGATTTACAAGTTTCACTTACAAGCTTACTGTTCTCGTTTAGAAGGAAGCTTCAAACATGATAAAATTTGAGATTTATGAAGACTAGTTCTCATAAAATGTAGCCTTCTGATTTGCAGTTTTCTGGAATATTGGCAACTGCATGTCAAAAGCAAACCAGCTTGCACAAATCAGATGCTATTATTGTTATTTCTATCTAGCCTGACAGAATTCATTTTAGCCTAAGCCAATGAGTTGTTCACAAAAGTTAGACATAATTTTGAAGTCTTGTCTTGAAAAGTGGGCTTTGAATGGTGGTTCACTCTCAATTCCTATCTTATTATGAAAATTGGAGTGCAAAAGTGGCTTTGGAAATACTTGAAGGATACTAACAGAGTGATGCTGTAGTACCTAATTGGAAATTTTCTTCAGTGTAGTTTGAACTTTGTTCAAAAAAATAAGTGAAAAAGAATAACCAGAAGCAAAGCTGCATGTGGTCTTCATATACAGAACTTTTTGTTTAAATATACATAATATTCATTCATTCAATTTAAAGTAACAAAAATTGGAGGGAACAAATGCTTAACTCCACAATTCCAGAAAACTCCCTCCCTCCTTGGTCCAAATTTTTTTATTTATTTCCAGTCTACCAATCAGACATCTGATGGAAGAGCTTGTCTTCCATATCTAAAGTTTAATCTCCCCAATACTTTGTTCTCCATAGAAAACTGCAGAACATTAGAACATGTATTTTCTCTGTTACAATGGAGATGGAGTGGGTTACAGAAAAAAAAAGGATACTTGTTAGAAAATCATATATAATATAATATTATAAAATACAAAATTAATACCCTCATTGTAATATCTAAAATAATACTGTGATAGCTTTCTCAGAGGGTTAGCAAATAGAGACAGTCTAAAAGGCATGCTAAATTTTATGTACGTTTTAGCAAAACTCAGCACTGAAAGGAGAGATACTAACCTAACCTCCAGAATAATATCAACCTGACTCGATATTTGTATCAAAGAATGGTTATTTGTATCAAAGAATGGCTTCTAACTTGTCATAGCAACTTTTGACATTGTATAGGAGATATAAGACCCAATTAATACACTGAGACTAGTTAATTGTAGAAGATGTAACATCATTCACCTCAACTCCATGGCCAAGTGGTTGTGGTAAGGTTAAGTGATAAAATTGAAGAGAAAATTGCAACATTTCATGGAATGAGACAAATTTTGAGTCTGTCAATGACTCTTGACATATGTCACCAATCTAGCAACCCATCTGCAAAATGTTGTAAGAGTGGAATCAATGTGCTGCGTTAATTAGGAGAATGAAAGGGGCAACTCCAAAGAGAGTGTCAAGAGGACTGCTGGGAGGAAAACTAATACCCAGGAGATTTAGTAGAGCATCACTGGCAGAGAGAATGCCACAGAGAGGATTTGTGTGCCTGTGTGCCTCTGTACTCAGGCACATCACTCACTGAAGAGCAACCCTCAGGACTGTGTATAAGATCATGAGAATTACAAAAGTTGACAAAACATTTTAAAATTACAGCCAGTAAAAACACATTAAAATTAATAAACCCCTAACAATTCCTCTGACATTTTAAACAGGTTTGAGGGGCTATGAGAATTTGTTCCACCTGAAAGTCTGAGATGAAACTTCTGTTTGAAAATATAAGAATGGGTAACTTGGATCAGAAGCTTAGGTATAACTTAATGTATGGGAATATTGAATTCTCCCGAAAGAAAGAGCCTTTGGGAAGAGATGTATGTATACAGGAACAATTTATTTGTTTGCAAGGCATTAGGGAAAGGTAGATGGAAAGGGCTATCCATTGCCTCTTGTGACACTACCTATGCTTTCCACTACCTATTTTATTTTTCTTTGTTTTCTCTCTCTGTCCTCCACTTACCACAAGCTTCCTTACTCTTTGTTAATACTCTTACCTTTGGCTTGCAAAGCTTGTGTATGAACGTATACCTACGTTTCTGAGATGCAACAGGAATGATTACAGCAGACCTTAAATGTCTGGTGCAGCAGTAAGGCACGTCAATCTAATATCTGCCAGCCTTGGTTATGGGGATAAGTATGGCAGAGAACCTGGCACAATTAGATTTGCAGGAGCAACCTGTCTTGCTCACAAACTGCCCCTGACTTACCACTGGAGATTTCCCGTTTGGTTTATGGCTGGTACAGAAGGCTGACCTTTCCTTGGAAACATCAAACAGAATGTGTGGCCTCCCGAGGCTCGTGCTGGCTCGGGCAGCTACAATATTTTCAGCTTTTCTCCTTTCTGCTCTGGAACAGTCACAGACAAATCACTTGCCAGGTTGACCAGCTGGTTTAGAATTGGAGGTAGGAAACTAGACACCAGTCTTTTACATCAATCTTTTAAAAAGTCCGAAGAATAATTTGATGCATCTTCTGCTTTTGAAGTAAACAAACAGGAAAAGTTTTACTTCAGTTTTATACCCAGATACAGGCCTCTTAGTAGGGAGGGAAAAAAATAACTTTGCCTTATGAGGATAAGTATTTTCAATAATTTAATTGATCAACATTTGTAAATAAAAATATGAATGATTATTCAAAGATTAAGCTGAAAGTGACATAAAGCATAATGGTACAGTGAAAAAGATAATTTATCTAAATATCAACATTTTTATGGTGAGAAAAATATTTTCAATAGAGCATGTTTTTGGGAAAGAATGGGGGTGGTTTCAATAATGAGGGAAAAAAGGAGAAAAAAGTTCTTGTCCTTCCTCACTGAGTTAATTATTTAATACTAGATAGAGTTTTGCATAGGATAATATGCTTAAAAGAGTGTACATAAGGTTGGTGCATAAGATCCACTTTCTGGATCTTTTCTGGAACTGGCCTGAACATTTAGAACCCTATTTCACATTTCAATGAGATCACAGCATCTAAAAACCTAGGTTATTTCCAAACATGAGATATAAATGCTTTTAACATATTGATTCTATTACTTAATATTTGTCACATCAGAATTTGCTCTTATCCAACATATATCCTCTTTTATGAAAGGAAAGCAGAAGCAAAGCTAAAAACAGGCACTGTCTCCTATTGTTAGATGAGATGGGTCAGTGAAGACCTTTCTACGTAGGAAACATACATGGGACAGCAATTTTTGCCAGTAGCATATGAAATAGCCAGGCCATTGACTGAGTAGGACAAAGAACAATCTCTAGTTTTGCTTGTAACATTACCTGACCCTGTTGCCACTTGGCCAGATAGCGGGAGGTGTGAAGTTCTTGCACATGAGCTTTTTTTTAGAGAAGAAATCATTTACATGGAGTCGGGGTGCCTTCTAGTTGTTTGCTTATTTTATATACTATTGAACTGCTTTTCACTAGAAGTGGTCACAAGTATGTTTGACAGTTGCCTTATCACTATTTGTTGCTATTCGAATGCAGCTCTTCATCTTTGTCTTTCAGCCAATCCCTCTTCCCATAATCACAGCCAGAACATCTGCACACTGTTTTAAGCAAGCAATTTTGCCTCTTATTAGGGAGTATAGAAAGCAAACTGCTGTATTCTAGGAAGACTCTTCATGACAAAGCTAGGGATATATAATTTATGCAGAAAGACTGAATCTTGGTTAAAAAGCAAGGCGAGTTTGAAAAATTTTAGATCTGGTGCCAATGGTTTCAGTCCCGTCTGGTGATTCATTCCAGAGCAGTGCATTGCACTTGGCGTTACAAAGCTGGTGCCAGAGCTCTGGTCTTGAAAAGTGAAGCATGTAGTATGAAAGAAGAAGAAACTGGCAAATGTTGAGATAGAGCAGGTGAAGACTGTGTCTTCAAAAAAGTACTTGATGTTAAACCCAGTTTATATATGGTTTTTTGTTCCCTGGAGATTTAAGACTCTCACTTTGAGAAAAAAGAGAGTCCTTTCTTGCTGTCAGAGGACCT